CGACCAGATAGATGATGATAAATTGAATATTTGTGATAATGATCATGTTAGTGCAGATTTGTCTTTGGTTGATCATGATGAAATGGGGGGGGAATGCCTACTACCGCTAAGTTAATAATGGTTCTGTACAACTTGAACGTGAAGTAGAATTAAATGCAGATGCAGTTGCAGAAGGCATGCATACTTGTGAGACCGTCAGTGTGAGTGATCAGCATGTAGCCCACCTATCATCAAATGATAGTGCTAAACCTGAGCTGATAGTAAAAGACAGCAGTGGTGGTGGCCTTGCAGTTAGACAAATTTCTGAAAGCCGAGCAACAACAGCTGCTGATCCACCACTAAGTTCATCGACCGGTATCAATCAGTCGTCGTTGGTGTTGTCAACCACAATGAAACAGACGCCCATCAACTCAAGTATCTTGTGCAATGACTATGATAGTATCAGTTCGTTTGAATGGACGAATATCAATGGTTAGTTTAGTGAGGATAAGCCAAGTGTAAACGAGAGAGTAATTGTTAAATTGACTTGCATGAATAAAGGCATTTCTAGTTTCAAGTTACCATTTGAATGCTATTATCTTTGGTGTAAATTACTCTGTTTCTACGCTTGGTTGACCAGATACGTCGTGTGTTTGTTCGTCATCTATATTCTACGATACAATGACATGGGCGTGTTACCGTTCAAATTTAAGGATATGGCTGACAGAAGGAAGTCAGCAAATGAACTCTGCGATGATTTTCCAACCTAGAGCGTCAACCTGAGAAGGGTTGTAGGCGTACTGGTGTAAGTCCTGCAATTCTTCAAAGGAATTCCACCAAGACATGATCGGCGAGGTTGTTTGTACTATTTGTATATACGTGTGGTTTGTCATAGCAATTGGTGTATTTTGGATTCATTGTGTTTACTTGTTGTTTTCGTATCTTGTTGTTATTGCGTAATTTTGTTAAAATTTTCGTCGTGATTATTTCTGAAGTTGTTTTGAGTCTTCTACATCCGTGAATGAATTGATTGATGTTAGAAACAGCAGATGGGTCGTATACTCCGGGGAGGCCATTGCTGAGAATGAAATGCATACGGAGATAATTGTTAGCTGCGGTCCGACACGCCGGGGAGAAAGAGTGTAAACGACTGAGGCTCGCATACGTCACCGTTACTAGAACTGAGGCAGAATGAGTGTCAAGCGATTTCAGTGGTAATTGGTAGTGAGTAGATAAGAGTATGTGTGTAGAGTATCGTGAGGTGGTGCTATGGTCACGTTGCATTTTCCAAGAGTCATTCTAGCAAGTCGAGATTGTGTTGCAAGAGGATGTGTCAAGAGGATGCCTTTAACTTGAAGGCGCAGGTCGTCAGCGATGTGTGAGATTGTGCTGTGAGTATGCTTGTGGTGTGTTGGCTTTTCTGTTTGATTTCCATTTCAGCTCTGTCCGAGTGACCCAGGTTCTCGCAATGGCATCCAAGTCAACGTGTATTGGTCGTGATGGAAAAAAGGGATGGATCCGTATTTTGCCGGGGAGTGTCAATGTGGTTGAAGATTGAACGATCAATTCATGGTTGTTTTGTGAGTCCCATGTCTTAATTTTGCGGAGGTCATCGACACTGTTGTTTTCGTTTCCTCGTTCGCTGTTGCGTGGATTAGAATATGCTTTCAGAAGTATTACCGTGATTTATTTTCATAACATATTTTTTGATACTTTGTGTACAATAACCGAATTGTGGGCGCTGTATTGGCGCAACAGTGTGCGGTTCTCGAGTCGCCAATCTGTGGTCTGGTTTTTTGCGTTGGTTGTTAGGCATTGTTCCTGAAAGTCTTATAAGGACAGTTTGAAGTCCTCTGTAGTTAGACCTGGACATTGACACCCTCCTTAGAATACTTTCTGCAACTATGTAGAATAACCAACCTGAAAACCAGAAAACACATTGGTGAATCAAGAACTGTTAATTCTTTCACGAATATGGAACCAACCATAAGCTTGTTTTCACAAATTCTGAGAAAAATTGTCATAACATTTAATCACAATAGTACTTCTTATAGTATTCCTCTGTCTTCTAACTAACAGCGAACGATGGATCGATCACTGCATTATCGGTTACTCACGCCGAAATATGGAGATTGGTTTGAGCGAGCAACCATGAATTGATGGTTCATTCTTCAACTAATGTATATATTTCCCATAAATTAAGCCATTGAATTATTTACATACTGTTTGTAGAGGCATGGGCGTATTTGACAAGTTCATTTTCAATGGAACACTGTTTAACGACATAAAAATTTGGAATAATGGATAAAAACCTGCAGAAACTTTTTAGGAATATATTACAGGATACTTGTTTATTATAAATTTTAATCTGTAATATATTTATAATCAGTCAAATTTATGCGGGAATTCCAAAACGTTGCGATGATGAAAGGTATGAAGATATGTGATACACAGGTGCTAGACACACGCGATGCAAACCTTGTGATCATTTTCATTTTAAAATATGAGAAGGGTTTGAAAATTCACAGAACTGCACAGTAGAGGGTAAGTACAGCATTATTTTTATATTAGCAGGTACAAGGGACCAACTTTGCGATGTTAAACAGAATTCAGAGGGGATTTGTTCCGTTCTTCATCGTAAGTGCCGAAAATATTCTGAATAACGCTCAAGTAATACAAACATAGAAATGAAAATTACTGTTCATTTGCAGTGTAGAAGTTGCGTCTTTCGGCATAGTATCATTTAATGAAGACTTCACGTCTCAGGATATCTATGCAGACCATTTTCCTGTGAAGAACAGTAATATTTGACGAAAGAATGCCATCAATACATGGAACTTACCTATAAATGCTAACAGAACCTTCTGTGGGAACAGAAGTTATCACGTAGATGTATTTTTCATCGTGATGCTACTGACCGTAAACCACAATATGAAAGGTTATTCTTGTCAATCAGTCTTACTTTCGACTACAGTAGCTCTTATATTAAGTAAATCATTGTACGTCATCATCTTTTAAATCGTTCTACCACGTGCTCAGAAACTTTTCCAGGTTCGGATGAAATATACACAATTCCGACTCATCTGGCATCCTTCATTAAATATTCATAAGCGCAACAGTAATTGTGAATCATATGTACGGATGGGATTGTAAATTTATTACATTGATACCGGATGCGTATCATTGACGGGCAACCAATGTATTTAGATCTTAACAACCATATGTTACTTCCGCTTTAATTGGATGTGATTTTCTTACGGCTTCTTTTCGTTTTCCAATGTACACACAATCACAACATATTTGTGCTTTAAATGTAGGTCGTCCTTTTTTAATATACATTCCCACACAACATATGGAGCGTTTGTTAACTGATAATAGACTAATTGATGATATACTGACCTTCTCGAAAAGCTTGAAAGCTTTTTCATCTTCAAACCAGGCTGTAAATTCTCCAGGTTTAAAATGTTCCTCAAAAACCTTGCTACTATCAACTATAGTCGTGCACTCTTCACCAGATTGACTCCAAAATTGTTTCCAGTGACCAGTTGAGCCGGCAACAATAACGGTAGCCAACCAATGAACTGGAATCAATAGCTTCTGCCACCCAAACATGTACATAAGCATGAATTCCCAAACTTCTACACAGTGCTATTTCATAAACAGCTGAGAAACATGCGTAAAATTTATTTTCATAAAGTCTCACGGTGTTATAATGTATTGTTTACTGATATTATGTTACATTATTACTGTATATGACTGTGTAACACTGAGAGACTTTATCAAAATAAATTTTATCCATAGTGGAATTATGCTTTACCATAGTGTACAGGTTTTATTCTTGTATCAGCTGCAAAACAACTAAAACACTGATACCGCGCACGTCGGGCTCACCACTTGTAAGAGTTCTACTACGGCTTAGAGTGGACCTATGCTCTAAACACCCGTACCAACTTCTTCACCGTTTTGCGACCTGCTAAGCTTAGCAGTACACTACTCGACGCGCAAATACTGACGAACTGTATCGTTGTAAAAAGACTTGATGTGACAAGAGTACCTGGGAGAATTATATTTTATTCAACGAAATATAGAATTCAATAAATAAAGAAGTCGTACAACTTATCTGCAGACGTTGCTGGAGGTAGGCTCGGAGAGTGTGCAGAAAGAGAGCACAACAAGAGAGCGAACCTATGAACGTACGGAAGACTCACAAGTCAAAAAGTAAAACGTGGATCACCGTGGGTGAGTCAGTTTAAACAAAAGTTCAAAGGTACAATGTGCACTACAAATTCAACGTATGAAACAATCAAAATGAAATGAGTGAACTGACCTGATGATAAAAATTTTTCAGTGCGTCGGTGGCACAGTGGTTAGGACTCTCTCCGAACATGCACATGGTCCGGGGTTCGAGCCCACGCCGACGCACACCTGATATCTATGGTCGGCCTGCGGAATTTGGGCTACCGATATCCACGCTGAAAATTCCATACTTGTATCAAAAATACACTGTGGAATCAAGCTGCAATCAAAAAAAATTTTAGCAACAACGGAAAGAAAAGTCAGGTGAAACGCAACATTTTTGAGCGATGTGCATAGAGATAAGTTGAGTAACTGCAGGATAAACGTAAAAGACATCATGTAAATGAACAGTTAGGGAATGGCCATCCAACATGGCCGGCCAACATCGACGAAAATGATCCTTATGTGTCTAACTCTTTGAGTGAACTTGAACGTGTGGGATAATTTCAGTTCTGATTAATGCAAGAACGTAGATTGCCAAAGGGGTTCCCAGGAGCTAACCATACAGAAACCCTTAAAAGATTATGAGGAGTTTCCTCATCATCAATGAAGGGTGTGAGTCGGTGAATTTGGTTTGTGCTTTGTCATGAAAGGGATATTAGACACAGAACAAGTAGTCGACCCTGAGAAACACTTTGTAGCAGCGGTAATTTGAAAGTACCTAAAATATCTAGGTATGTTACTTTGAGAACTAACTACTGATCCGTTTTTCTTCATCAAGACCCATGTTTCGTCTTGAAGCACTGTACAAGTTGTTTCATTTTGTGTATTTGTCTTCGGATGACGTAAGTGGTACTGACATTTTTACACGACAGTGCATAATTAAATGTGAACGTTGCGGCACTGGTATTTGCTTTTATGCACGTAACTTGTTTTATATAAATACACATCTGGTTGCTTTTGAGATGTCGCCTCATTTGTTTCACATGTTGCCAGCTGGTTAGCAAAAATGTTCATTGTTGTGTACGATGTGTTGGATGAAAGTTGGCTAAATTTTCCTTGCGATTCCGAATTATTACGTTCCGAGTTTCTGCTTGTTTTTACTTTTATTTCAGCTGTAATTGGTATGCTTAGATTGGTCGGTTATAACTCAGTTCCATTGTCCGTACAACAGGTTTTTTAATCACAGGCCTATGAGTTACACGTGTAACAATAAGTACTTATTGTATCATACTGCCGAGATACCCCAGCTGAAGTAGGTGGGCCGAGGTCTGAACGCACAACACATCAGCTGAAGGTTAGTTGCTTAAGCCAGTGAGCTATTCGGCACTGCTCTTTTGTACGGAAAATCCAGTCAGCTGAGCATCTTTTCGGTATTTGCTTACCATAGGGAAAACGTTAGTTCACAATGTAATAGGGTAAGGTTAAGCTCCAAGCACCACTGACTACCAATCAGCAAATGACCTCGGACGCAGCAATCTCATAAAGGAGGCATTTTTATTTTTGGAATACATATATTTATGAAAAGGCATAAGAACTGTATACAAGTGTTACAGAGGATATCTTCCTCTCAAATGTGATAGAAATAGCTCTCTGTCTTAGGTTGGAGTATCGACTGAGTGTTATTCCACTGTGCATAAAATTTATTTGATAAAGACTCGTAGTGTTGTGCAGTGATATTTACTGGGCAATAGTTGGTGCTCGAAACGTCTCCGGTAAATATTACTGTATAACATTGTGAGACTTTATCAAAACAAATTTTATCTACAATGGAATTATACTCTACCACAGTGTACAAGTTTTACTGTTATGTCAACGGAGTAATTTAACCACATTCTATGCGTGTAATTATTTGTCTTCTAATCCTAACAATAACCCTTTCCTGAACCTAACCCCAACGTGAAAATATCCCTAAACTCACTGTAATCTAACTCGAACCAACCCTAATGTCGCCTTTATTAGGTTAACCTAACCCCAACTTGTTCTTTGCTTAAGGCGTAACTTAATTTTTCCAAACCTATGCTGAAACTTGTCAGTTATCCCATTTAATAACATTTTATTGATGATGACAACACTATTCGCCAGGTTTCACTAACTTGTCAAGCGAGCCTTTCAAGGTCATTGGTGTGATCGCACTCCATTGGTAGTTAAGGATGCTTGAAGTTTGACTTGGCCTTTAAATAGCATTTTCGCATTACAGCAACCTTCGGAAGTCTGAAGTGATTAGTGTACATGGTTCACTCTTTGCAATTTGTAGTTCTCGTTTAGCTTTCCGATGTATCTACCACTTACGTTGAATTCACTTGAGAAAACTGCGGGCCTAAAACTAGCTTGCTTCAGATAATTAAAGATTTACATAGTGGCAGGTGCTTTCGTGCTTTTGTAGACTAGATTATAAAATTGCATCAATTCCTATAGCTATGTCAGAGCAAATGCTGTTCCATAAGCATACCAACTGTTGCCAAAGAAAAATCGAAATAGCAACCATGTTGGTTTTATGCAGAGCTGTTCTAGTGATTTAATGGTAACTATCGGTAAGACTGTTCACGAGTTCTCACTCTTGTAGTAGGTTCCGCATGATCTCTGGAGCCATAGCAACTGTAAGAATAGTGAAGCAAATAAATGACTTACCGAATGACCTAGGACTAATAATCGCAATAGCCTTATGACCATAATACATTGATTTTAAAATATATTCAAGAGGAGTAAAGGAGTGAAGTTTAATTGTTTCTCAGCGTCATATTCCCTAAAATAATTTAAGTTTCAGTAAGTGATCTCTAAATCTGAAATCCGTACTTAAACCTCAATTCTAGCTTTAACTTAAGCAGTAAGCTTATACTAATTCTCACGTTCACCCTAATCATAACCCTAAACCTAGCCCTTACATAGTACTAACCTACCTCTAAGCCAGTCCTAAATGTCAAACTCTGAAATCTTAGAGTAGTCAGTGAATGGAGTGTTAAAAAGGAAAGGTCTTATCGTTCGCTCAAAGTAATCTGATGATTCATTCGTGTGGGTCACTATTCTGTACGGTTGCTGGATAGCATTATTAGTTCTTACACCGTGGTTGGCTTGTTGTCAAGCGCTTTGACATACACATAACTGCGTCGGTGGCACAGTGGTTAGGACTCTCGCCGACCATGCACATGGTCCGAGGTTCCATCCCCTGCCGACGCACACCTGATATCTATGGTCGGCCTTCACAACTTGGGCTACCAATATCCATGCTGAAAATCCCATACTTGTACCAAAAATACAGTGTGGAACCAAGCTGTAATCAAAAATAAAAAAATAAATAAATAAGTAACCTTTCATCGAGTCTTTTCTTCGCAATGTTCACGCTGAACTACAATCTGGGTTTTGGAATTCAGTAAGACTTGATTCCTTACTATAGTTCACCTTTAGGTGTTAACAAGCAAACTTGAACAAGTTTCTTATCTGAAATACTGTGTATTGTCTTCGTTTTGATTGCCATGTTTCCTTGACCTCACTGAATTACAGTATTTTTTAAGTTAAACAGGGTTACAGACTGGCTTTTCTTTTTGAAGCTAATGAAATACAAGTTGCATTTGTTTAATGCAATCAAATGCAGATTGGAAGGCATAATCTAGGTGAATGTGAGTCTGTTATGACTTGTTGTCTTTCAGGGGTTATTCACAGGAAGTTATACAGTGGAATACTCAGGTTGCCAAAGTGCTGGAGGCTTTTACGAGTACGAGTGGGGTTGTTGTTTCGAGTCTAGTTCTACTGTGAACATTCGACATAGGTTATCCAGGCTGGTGACAAATTTTAGAAATGTACATATTTCTCTCCATGTCTCCATTTTCTCGTCGTTCCAATCTTATTAGTTGATTTAGATTTCCTGAAAACCTATGTTATATATTTTATGTATAGTGTACAAACTTTTAAGATGGTTAGATGTTTTTAACTTACTTTCCATCACTTTGTATTCATATTTAGCCTCTGTGTTTCTATACTTCTTACCTAGTTTAAATGTTGCTTTTACTGTCTGTTCGGTTGTATATTGCTTCAAGATGTATGTAGTGTTTGTGTTAATGTAGTTTTTTCTTGTGTGTTAATATATGTCAGTCGATGTCGTATTTTATTAAGCTTATAATTCATTTTGTTTCATACAGATGGATATATTTACTAAAACAGCTTCATTTACTCGAGCATTAGCCATTTCAGTTAGGTGTCAAAGTTTTGCAAGTTCTACAGTTAACAAGCAAAACAAGCATAAAATTGTCATTGTCGGCGGTGGTGCAGGCGGTTGTGCAATGGCTAGTCGTATGTGCAATCATGTGGATGAAAATCAAGTCGCTGTTATTGAACCATCTAAAGTAAGTGCTTTTTTAAGAGAAAGACTACAAGAAATGTGAAGGGATTTCTTAATCAATCATCAAAAATTTGTAAATTTTTAGGCTTCTAGTTGAGATGATCTTTATGACGCACCAAGTATCTGATCCGTATATTAAGTAGCACTAACTTCACGTTGGATTTGAAAATCTGGATCTTACTTTCATTTTCATGCTGAGTGCTGTTAACCTCCACTCAGACTTGGAGTAATGAAAGCTTGTCTTGCTTTTCCGATTTGGCTTTGATATTCTCGTCAGTTCCGCCCGCCTGTAGTTGAAACTATGCTTCCCAGGTAGGTAAAGGAGGTTGTTTCTTTCAGGTTCCTCCCATTTATGCTGGCTGATTGTTGTCTGTTGTTGTTGTTGCTGTTGGTGTTGGCCAGTAATCTTCATCACCTCTGTTTTCTCTATGTTCACTTGAAGTCATGTCTTTGATGCTTTTTCTGCCAGCTTGTCGCTTTTCACTTGCATATCTTCCAATTTATGGGAAATCAGGCATACATAAGTCATCGGCGAAGTCCAGATCCTCCAAGTTTTTTGTGTGAGTCTATTTTATGCCTGTTTCCTCATTGCCCGCTGTCTGTCGCATTATATATATATATATATATATATATATATATATATATATATATATATATATACGGAGTTTTGTAAAGAATTGAGGTGATAATTTTACACGGAATAATTGGATCCGCTGTCTGTCAGGTCACTGAAAAGATAATATTCACTACTACAATCACAGTAAGAATAGAAATTGCCATATCTTACTTATTGTGAAGAGAGTAACTGACCGAGTTAGGTACAAAAAAAACGACGTGGGACCGAAAGTAAATAGTTTATACATGAGAGTAAAAGTGTGATGGTGGTGGATTAAATGACTGAATTTACGATTCAGGAAGTAACTTGCTAGAACGTGGTGATCAGTCATCCGTCGATTTGTCGTCTTCTATTTCATATATTGGCTGGGATACTGTCCAAACGCCTAGATTGAGGCAACTGCTACACAAGCTATAATTTGAAGTCTGATCCACAAGGTAGCCGAGTAACATCAGGAGTTCCATCCGCATGGTTCACAGTGATCAATTGCTGAAGCTCGTGTGCATCATAGGTTTGGAATCAGATTATCCCACATCTTCTAGTTAGACTCTATGTTTGCCAGTTCGATGATGATGAGCGCTACAAGAGATCATTTTGGTGGAAATACTGATATAACCTAACCTCTTCCGCATTAGGTGCCCCTGGCTCAGTAGTGATTCTTAGTTGAAAAAAAAGAAAATATTTAGAATGTATAAAATCCTAGTTTACTAACTACAAGAATCCTGAAGAAATAACATGTACAAACTGTACACTTGTTTCAGAAAAATATTCACATGTGAAATTCCACCTTTCATTTATTACTATTTTATTCCTTTACGTTCCCAGTGGAACATAGGGCTTCAAGCTAGAGGCTTGAAGTTTCGGTAGCAGCGCGGTATTTATGTTTACGGGATGGAGTTGTTAGTTTCATGTCCAACCTTCCCTCTTTACCAGTTTTATCACTGGTTTAGCGAGGTAAAGGAATGCGTCGGCTGGGGGTTGAACCACACGCGTGGTTGGCTTGCATTCTACAGACAGACAGACAGACCAACGAATTCACCTTTCATAGAAGTCTTCAAAATCGTACTGTATATGTGTGATGTATAACTGATTGTATTGTTCCTGGTTGGCGGCATGCTGTGGCATTCGTTGAGACATTCAGTCATTAATTTGTTTAGAAGACTTGAGGGAGTTTCGATATAGAATCCAGTTGTCGTGATATTAGGAATCAGTACTGTGTTTTATAGTGTACATATAGATTACGAGACATAAATCTAGTTTTACGATACACTGTTATTAAATTTCACGATATATTATATATCAAGATAGGAGAAACAATAACAGCTATGTAGCACTGATCATTTATTTGATCTAATCCCACCGATAACTGCTACCTTGTTGTGGTGGTCGGGCTTGAATACCGTAATGATCCAACAGGCTAAACTGACCAGGACTCTGTCCCTGCAGGTCCTACCATGTCAGGAAGGTTGTTTGGATAGCGGTTAAACTAAAAGCAGTTACCATAAGGTACATGGGCTCCAGTATCCAATCGGATCAAATGACGTATGAACCCATATGGGTCACCGGCAGCCATGGGAATGCAGCTCCTGACGCTGCTCCGCTGCCTTGCGGATTAACTCCAAGTCAAAGGCTCGCGGGTTGGTCCCTTAATAAAACCGCCTGCTTCAGTCTGGGCGCCCTGGCAGTATCTCAACCCTCACACAATGAATTGAATGAAGCAAAAAACAATCAATGAAACTTATCGCGTGCTACTACACGTGTTGCAATTTCCTTCTTTCTTCCCTTCCCGATGATAGTTAACGAATACTGTTTGAACTTGTTAAGCATGACTGTTTTCCTTCCAAATGAAGTTCTTTATCCGTTTTCTACTTATATTTTTACTTTTAATCTATGTTGTTTTATTATTATTGTGTGGTGCATCCTTCTTGGTGCCATATTGTACCAAGTTTTTATGCGTTTAAATAAATAAATAAATAATAATTTGATCTAATTGTCTAATGGTATTTCTTAGGTATTGGTTTGTTTAATTAGTTGGAGGATTTCATCATGAGCTGACGTCGGTTGGAGAACGATTGGAAAACTTGGGAGTACTGGACAGCTCTGTTTCGTCCTAGTTTGGGGCCCCTTTGGGGTTCTATCCCCAGGACCTTCTGGTTACAAGGCGAGCTCTGATTTCGGTCCGTGACTTCATCCAACTTGAAATCATCCAAGGGCATTTATGTCTAACAACCTACTATTGAAATTGTATACTCATTTCCTCCTAGGCCTACTATATGCATTATGCATTATGTTTTTTTAAGCAGTGTTGTCAGAAGTTTTCATTATTTTTTATTATTTCAGATTCATTACTACCAACCACTATTCACACTTGTTGGCGCTGGAATTAAACCCTTCAAAGAAACATATCGTGAAACGGAAGATATTTTACCAAGAAAGGTAAAGTTATATCAAGACAAAATAACACGTATTGAACCAAAAGACTCTTATGTTGTACTTTCGAATGGAGATAAAGTAAGTTGTTTTGTGTGATACTGCCTTTATCAGTTTGAAATGTGAAAATATAGTTTTAAAAAAAATTTTTATTTTTAGCTTGTATACTTTACTTCCGAGTACTTGGGACACAGTCGATGGGGGCTGTTGATATAAGTTATTCTGTCGGTTGGACGTTTAAAGAATTATGGAGATTCTTACTAGACTTCATTATTTTATTGTTCTCCGTGTTCGCATATTCATTACTGTTTATTTTATTATCTGTCTGTCTGTCTGTCTCTTTTCGAACTTTGCACATATGTGCGGCAGTTCAAGTCACGACACTCCATGTAGCACACAAAGCAAGAGAAGAAAGTACAAGAAAAGCATAATAGAGACAGCAAGCAGAGGTGTGAGACAAAGGAAAAGTAATAACGAAGAACAAAACAGTTTCATTGGAAATCATAAATCACAAGGAGTGGATGCATCTGCGCCACTGAGAACGATTTTGAGCCATATCACCAATTGTTTCCAACCATTTGTTTTTGCCGTCCCGAAGACCCCAACCAGGAAGCCTGTCTACACCTTGATACGTGGCTTAGACTAACTGTTGTAGATTTCATTGACTGGTGCCAAGTTTTTGTGTGACCTCCGCTAGCTTTTTTCAGCCTGACCGCTAACATTGCTCGTCGAGGAAGTCGATGACTAGGCATACGTAACACATGTCCTTACCATCTCAGTCTTTGTAACTTCACAACTTCGTCGATTGATTTCCCCTGTTTACCAAGCACTCGATGCCTAGCCTCAATATTGCTCACCTTATTATGCCACTTCACACGGGAGATAGAACACAGGCGTTTTATTATCATCGTATTTCTAGTTGCCGCTTGTATTTTGCTATGCCTTGTCAAGGATTCCACATTAATATAATAAGATTGAATCTGATAGTGAATTACAGTCGCATAACGGTTCATTCCTCCACATTTCACATCATCATGTCTTAATGAAAGCCAAAATGATTGGAAAGGGAGTGGAATCAAAATATTAAAGTTGATGTCCTCTGAACTCTGTTCGTGGACGTTTCGTCGCTAGGAATTGAGATGTATTTCCAAGTTGAAAAAATATTTATGTTTCCTGTCTTTTCTTATTACCCAAGAGTGTAATCTTGGGATCCAGCTATCAACCAAGGGACGTGTGTACTGCTCACCAGTTCGCTCCGTCCTTCTCTATGGCTCTGAAACATGGACAATACGAGTTGAAGACATGAAAACGTTGACTGTTTTTGATCATAGATGTCTACGATCTCTTTCTCACGTTAGGTGGTATAATAAGGTAAGTAATGTTGACGTTAGGCGTAGAGTGTTAGGCAAAGAGGGAAAATCAATCGACGAGGCTATAAAGTTACATAGATTGAGATGGCTAGGTCCACGTGCTGCGCTTGCCTAACCGTCGCCTCCCCCGACGAGCATTTCTAGCTGATATAGGTGCAGGCTGGAAAAGAGTAAGTGGTGGCCAAACAAAAACATGTCATCAATCCATGAAATCCTTGATAGTTAAACTGAGTCAGGTAGGTAGAGAGATGGAGACTTCCGGGTTGGGGCCCTTGGGACTCCAAGAATCAATGGCTGGAGACAATAGGTGACATGGCTCAAAATCGTTGTCAATGGCCAGCGCAGATGTATTCAGTCTCTGTAATCTTTTCCTTTCTACCATTACCCATTCTGTTTCACTCTTATACTTGTCAAACTCTATTGATTCTCTTCACTCATCTTCTTGTCTACCTTTGTGTGCTATTTGGAACGTGGGAACTCGAACTGCTGCACTTCGGTGCCAAGTTCTATGTTGAATCCAGACAGACTTTGACAACGGAGTTTTGCCTTACAAAGTAGACTTATCAGTGGTTTCATTGGTTTGTGTCACATCAGTTCCAAAGAAATGAAGTAAGTTGGTTGATGGCTTCTGAAATGTCTTTAATATAGGGTAAATTGATCCTCCTGTGGTCCAAGGTTTGAACCCAGGCCAACGTTCTCCTTTATCTCGCTAAGCTGGTAATATTGTAACACCAGAAGACAAGACATGGAAGCCAAGATATTTTTTTCATTAATCAGACTACTGTTTAATATATCTACAGTTTATATTCTTTAATCAATCACTGAGCGTGTGATTTTAGCTTACATTAAACGACATGAAATAAAATGTTCAATTCTGTTGCCAGTGCCGTATTGAACTGTGGGAATATGTGAGAATCATATTCCGTTGGCACACATACCTGTCTGTGTCACACCACCAGAATATGATTGGTAAAAAAGGAAGGTTAGGTATGGGACTAGCAACCTCATCCCGTAAAAATAATAAATCCCACTGTTACCGAAAGTTCAAAGCTCAAGCTTAAAGCCCTATGTTCCACTAGGAACGTAAAAGAATAAAAAAATTCTTCTGCTGAGTTCTAAAACTGTGTTGTTCCCCGCATCATGGTGAACTTCTGAGGATGATCATTTGCTGTGGAACACCTTTTCCTGAGTGTTCTCTTCAAATTCTTCACAATTGGATGTGTAATGTTGTAGTGAGTTTCGCCTCTTGAAAATAATCTAATATTACAAGATTTTTGTGAGCTGTCAGGTAATTACTATTGTGGTGTAATAATTTGGTCAGAGAGGGTAACGTTTTTGTAAGGACACCTAGTTGGCTCTACTTACTTACTTACTTTACTTCGTCTATCTCCTACGGGAGGATGAGCCGGCTTCATGAACATCTCGAATCATCGCTGCCCAGGTGTGGCGATCTGATGCAAGGTTTTGCTACAGGGTTATCCAATTCTTGTTCCACAGACGGAGTCCGTAGACGGTTTGTAGCCCCAGGCACTCCATATCAGCCTTGACTGTACCAAGCCACGTTTTCAGCTGTCCACCCCTGCGACATCGCCAAGATGGAAATGGTGAGGGATTTAGAACTGATTTGACCAGATCGTCATCTGGTCGGCGCAGAACATGGCCAAACCACCAAAGGCGACGTTGTTGGACCGGTACTGGAATTTGGTTGATGTTGTAGAGAGTTCATGAAGTTTCATGGGAATTAGGTACGAGTGATGTCCCCAGGATCGCTCGGCCTTTTGTTTGAGAGTGCAGCTCTAGCCTTTACACAACCAAGTGTGACCTACAAGACAGTAGGAGTGGAGTAGGGAGTCCACTATCCATTGGCAGCCGGTGACCGGAGTCCGGTTCATACGCCTTTTTGAATGAGGCCAGACATCCAAGGCATCCAATAAACCCTTTGTCCATATGTCTGCCGGTGAGCTCCGGTGAGCTTCATACGCCAGTCGTTGGAGGTTTGGAATCAGGGTTTAGCCATCTCTCCTAGACTGTCATCCGATGGACAGAACCCGGTGAAGAGCGCCGGGCATCCGCTTTTATTTTTTTTTAAAGTTTTAAATTTACAGCTTGATTCCACATTGTATTTTTGGTACAGGTATGGAATTTTCAGCATGGATATCAGTGGCCCAAATTTTGCAGGCCGACCATAGATATCAGGTGTGCGTCGGCGCTTGGTGAAAAACACTTCCACCACGTGAAGGCAGTGAGTAGGACTTCCTCAGGAGAGGCTATGTAAGACGCCCGGTCATATGGGAGCATTTCAAGAGGTGTACGGAGGGGTGGCCAACCCGCAGTGCAAGACACGCACCCCTGACCATCCTGAGGCTTTGGAGGCTTGACTCTACTAAGAAGCAGTTATAGTAAGGAGATTTCATTATTCTATTATGCCTTCTCCTTTCTACATTTAATATATTCCAATGTGTTTGATTGCTAAATTTAATAGTGTTTTATATTCCAATGCACTTGGAGACTCACGAAAGTATTGTCGATATTATCTAATCCAAAATGTGTGCAGAAGGAAGCTGTTCACATATTGACTAACTTCTAAACTAAAGCAGTGGTTATCCGATAGTCCATAAAAAGTCGTATATCATCTATTTCTTCGGTGGCACAGTGGTTAGTACTTTCGCCGACCATGCACATGGTCCGGGGTTCGAGCCCACGCCGACGCCCACCTGATATCTATGGTCGGCCTGCGAAATTTGGGCTACCTATATCCACGCTGAAAATTCCATACTTGTACCAAAAATACAGTGTGCAATCAAGCTGTAATCAAAGATAAAAAATAAAAATAAATATCACTCTACTACTCTCATTTTTGATTTTATTTCGACATATTATACTAACTTGAACTTATCCAGGACTCCTCGAGTATCCTCTTTTCCTTTGTGTTAGTTTGTTTATAATCATGCGGTACAATATACACGTATACAAAACTAATCAGATGATTGAGTGTTCTGAATTTCTATTTTTGTTTTTTAAAGTGAATTTTTTTTGTTTTGCTCTGTTTTATTTACTTTCAAAGATATCATATGATTATCTCATTTTGGCTCTTGGCATGGATTTACGTTATGATAAAGTAAGTTAAGTGTTAAGTTTAGTTGTTTTTTTTGTATTCACACGACACGTTGCACACTTGTCGGCGTATTAATTTCACGTACGCTTGTACTGTGTAAGATCTGTAAAAGGGTTCAGTATTGATCGAATGCGTGATACCGCCAACTCTGGCATAATAAACAGGGTGTATAGTCTCCTGGCATATGAAAAATATGTTCTAGGTAGTTGAATTTTTACTAGCTAAAGTGAAACTATGACATACTTATTAGTTTGATCATGGATCAATATTAGTTAGCGAACCTTTTAAAATCAGGGAGTGCGGGAGCCTAGTTTAGGAATCTTCGTCACAATTCATGGATTATTGTATTCTATCCCAGTGGCTGAGAGATCAACGAGCTCGCTTCGTAACCTGAAGATCTAGGTTTCGATCGCTGGTACGGCCAAAGGTGCGTACTGTTGAAGAGTCTCAAACTGGAACGAAACAACGGTTCAGTACACCCTGGTTTCCAGTGATTCTCTAACTGATATCGGTCTGTGATCAGACTTGAAACCAATGAAATCCCTACGAACTAACACTTGAAACACGTTTATTGGTGTGGTCACTTGATTCCCAACCAGTAGGTCATTTGTTCGAACTATGTTTCATCAATGAAGTTCTGGAAGAAAGTGTGGTTGAAAAAAACACTTATAAGTCATATGGCCTTTGCAGTATTGCTCACCTGTTGTCTGTGGTAACAGCCGAATCCTTGAAACATCAAAGTTGGACGGAGTCACCCCTTTTAGTACATCTGTAATGAAAGTAAGTAGAAGTAGTAACATTGGGTTTCTCTTCTGGTGACAACTCCCCATCATTTATTACATATCTGTGTCAGTTAGACTAGGTTGTTTCGAGTAGTACACTACACTTTCTAGGTACTCCTTTCATAATCAGACATTGTCACAGTAATTCTCCGCCAACAAAGTGAAATGTCACCTCCAGGTTAAGATGTATAATAAGTGCTGGACACTGTTCAGTATACTGAAGTTTCAGGACTTGTCAAAATTGTGGAGAATCTAATCAATACATCCTTATCCAGGCCTAAATGATTTTCTCAGGTGATGTCTTATTGAGCTGTTAGTTTTTTCACAATCCAAGGAACATAAAGTCTTTGATACAATATTCAAACTGACTCCTCTGTGATTATCAATATGGAGATTAGTATTGTTTTTTTATAAACTGAAATGGTCAGCGATCTTTAATCATTCATTATTATATCATAAAAATCACTCCTCACCCAGAAAATCGTTTCAGTCGTTAACGTGTTGTTAACTTCACTCGATAAAATCTTTTCTTCAGAATTCATCTTTGCTTCTCTACCAAGTTATTGTTACTGTGAAGATATGTAAGCGTAATTTCTTGTTGATAGTGTTTCAACGTCAGTTTTAGTGACAACATCATAAATTCAGTATATTGAATATTCCCATATTAAAATTTAGAACAACACATTTAAGCGAACAGTATTGTGATGTCAATTAGATCTCATCAGGCTTAACTCTAATATATATATAATTTTAAAAATATAATACAAACATAAACCAATCATGGTGTCTTGTCTATAGGATAATAAGATGGTGAATATAAATTGTGCAATTAGTCATAATAGTAATATTAATAATAATAATAATAATAATGGTTTTATCAATAATAAGGATAAAAAAGTGAGGCAACCTGTGATAACACGAATAATGAAAAACAGCATGATTAAAAAAAAACACATTTTCAGGCGGAAGTAGTCGATAAAGGCTAGTAAAAACAAATGAACCGATTAAGTAGTGTTATAATGTAAGGGAAGTAAATGAAACACGTTTTTGAATGAAGATGTGATAAGATTAAGGAATGATAAGAAAGGGGTTGAAAATATAAACAAAAGGTGGTGTAGAAGTCATTAGTTGGTTGTCTTAATAGGCCAAGGGAGGGATAATGGCTGTATGAATTTCTTTTGAATGCATAGTTTAAGTTTAATAGTTCGAATGCTTATCGCCTCAGTTGTGTGCAGTAGACGAATAGCCTCCAAAGCCTCAGGATGGTCGGGGGTGGGTGTCCTGCGCTGCGGGTTGGCCACCCCTCCGTACACCTCTTGAAATGCTCCCATATGACTGGGCGTCTTACATAGCCTCTCCTGAGGAAGTCCTACTCACTGCCTTCACGTGGTGGAGGTGTTTTTCACCAAAGTGAGAGGGTAAAAGCGGATGCCCGGCGCTCTTCACCGGGTTCTGTCCATTGGATGACAGTCTAGGGGAGATGGCTAAACCCTGATTCCAAACCTCCAACGACTGGCGTATGAAGCTCACCGGAGCTCACCGGCAGACATATGGACAAAGGGTTTATTGGATGCCTTGGATGTCTGGCCTCATTCAAAAAGGCGTATGAACCGGACTCCGGTCACCGGCTGCCAATGGATAGTGGACTCCCTACTCCACTCCTACTGTCTTGTAGGTCACACTTGGTTGTGTAAAGGCTAGAGCTGCACTCCCAAACAAAAGGCCGAGCGATTCTGGGGGCATCACTGGTACCTAATTCCCATGAAACTTCATGGTTCATGAAGCCGGCTCATCCTCCCGTAGGAGATAGCCGAAGTAAAGTAGTAAGTAAGTAAGTAGACGAATACGAAGTCTGTTTGAAAGATTCGGTGGGATACGATGAATTACTTTGAAAGCTTTCGTTTTCTCCACTACATGACCACTATCAATTAAATGTGCTAAAATTGAGCTACGGATTGTTTTCGTCTATCCTTTGCCAAACCACGATGGGAGATGTTCGATGATGACACGTTGGCTAAGCTGTCTAGTAGTGCACCCAACATAACTGTCACCACAGGTGCAGTTGAATTGATAAATATACATAGATGTGGCAAAACTATCTAGCTTATCCTTCGTTTGCGTCCCAATCATTCGTCGGCTAGAGAATGACATCTTCATTATAAACGTGTCTCATTTACTTCCCTTACAATCTAACATTACGTAATCGGTCCATTTGTTTTTACTAGCCTTTATCGACTACTTCCACCTGAAAATTTGTTTGTTTAATCGTGCTGTTTTTCATTATTCGTGTTATCACAGGTTGCCTCACTTTTTCATCCTTATTATTGATAAAACCATTATTATTATTATTATTATTATTATTATTATTATATTATGATTGTAACAATAGAAGTCAAGGGCCAGGCAACAGATCGTTTTATTACGGAAATCAGCACGTATTTATATACATTTCATGTATATTATTATAGCTTATTCAAGCAGACAAACACAGTCTTCTGATTGGTTATTTCTTGCTCAAGGTTATTCTGTGCTGATCTCTGAGAAAGTTAACCATATATCTGCGAATCGTATTTGTCCACGTTGAGTCTGCTGTAATTGGTTGTTGAATCAGTCTTGTTCATATTTTCTCACGGCCAATATTAGCGACCTAGACATTGACGTAAATTAATGTCTACCAATTGGCTAGCAGCCTGCTCTAATCACATGATTAATTGCACAGTTTATATTCACCGTCTTATTATCCTATAGACAAAACACCATGATTAGTTTATATTGGAATTTTTATTTGTAAACTTATGTGTACTGGGGTTAAGCCTGATGAGATCTAATTGAAACCACAATATTGTTCGCTTAAATGTATTACTCTAAATCGTAGAGTTAGTCAAAATTTTGGATAAAACTTCAGTCGTGATAGCTGACTTGACTATATAGGGTACCATTTTTTTCCATTTTTTTATTTACGTTGATATGCTTGTTATGCAAGTTATCAGGAATATGATGCTTTTTATTTTCAGATTACAGGAGCTGAAGAAGCCTTGAAATCTGATCCTCGTGTCTGTTCAAATTATTCCCCTAATTATGTTGAAAAAACACTGAAAGCTTATCATGATTTCAAAGGTGGTAATGCTGTCTTTACACTGCCAGCTGGACCAATTAAATGCGCTGGTGCTCCACAAAAAGTTATGTACCTGTTTGAAGATTATCTAAAAAGAGTAAGTATTTCTATCTTCTTTTCTTCTTTGATATTCATACAATCAGTGTGCTTCAGTTTTATGTGCACTTCTCCTGGCACTTTAATTATCTCATTTAATATCAAGGTAATATAATATTAGTCGAGTAACCTCACTCACCGTCGGTGGCATAGCGGTTAGCACGCTCGCCGACCATGCACATGATCCGGGGTTCGATCCTTGGCCGAAGCACTCCTTTACCTCGCTAAGCCAGAAATAATGCTGGTAAAGAGTAGAGGTTGGGCATGAGGCTAGCAACCCTATCCTGTAAAATAAACACCACTGCTACAGAAACTTCAAGCCACTAGCTTGGAGCCGTATGTTCCACTGGGAACGTGAAGGATTAGTTTTTTAACCTCACTCAACATCCATCACTGAGGCGGGGGGTGGAAACAATAGGAAATCACTTCGCTCACTTATCTAGACAGTGTAGCGTTTCAACTATTGGCGGTGAAGATGAAGCTGTCAAAGTTAGCCAAGATTGGAGAAGCAAGAGAGAGACCTCCATTACAGTTGAAGTCAATGTGGAAATCTACTATACACACCTAAATCATAAGAAACAAAATCCGAATCTTTGACACGAATGTCAAATCAGTCTGCGCTTCTACATCGCTATAAAGGCCATTTCCAACAAGCTGTAGACTTTTATCAACAGTTAACTTCGCTCTTTACTAAAGATCAAATGGCTAGAAAGAAGATAAGCGATAAGGTATTCTGGTAATGAACTAACCAAGAACCTATTGCAGAAATAGATATGCAGAAGGAAATAGAGATTTATGGACTGACATTGACAAGATCGTTGAGTGGAACCCGAATGGGAAGCGATGAGTTGGGCATGCGTCCGAGGGTAACATATAAAGGAGATTATGTGAGGAAGGAATGTAAGCTTATGGGCAATCGTGGAACAAGCCAGGAACCCCTTGTATCTCATCAGGCAGAACCAGAAGCCTATATAGAAAAACATATGCTCGCACTAGCAAGTAAAAAAATTCAACCCTACCCTACTTAGCTCGTGTTCTGTGCGATAAAGAAAGCATTAGGCGTGATACTTATAATTTATTAAATAGCCAGTAGAACAATTGATCTCGTCTTTTCAACTCATATCATCTATAGGTACAACGTTTTCTTTCTTTCCTTTCTTTTTTTCTTATGGACTGTTTTGTTTCTTTCTTCCTTACAAACTCTATTTAAAACATTCTTCTTCGTTCTGTCACACTCTGTATATGTCCACCTTTTTGTTACTGCTTACTCCAATAAATATGCTAGCATCTACATTTCTGACACCTTCAAACACTCTGTTCAATTCTGGCTTGCTACCGACATGCCAATATGTTCTTGTCAAAAATTACTGAGATTACCCTTAATCTATGTAGAATTTTATTTATTGTTAATGTACGAACTGGATGCAATAACTGTAGTAAAATGCTGAGAATTCCATTCTGTATCACATGTGATGTTTTGGAATAAAGCAAATTATTATTATTATTATTATTATTAAAAAATTGACTTTGGAGAACAGAATAGAATGAAGATATGCTGATAAAAGCCCTTTACTCCACTTGGAAGCCATAGGAGAGTAATAATAATAATAATAATAACATCTTCCTCTGATGAGTATTATTTTTACAAGCTTTTGTCATGAACTGATGTCAGGTGGAGAACCACTGAAGAAGACTAAAGGGATGTGAACAGGCTAATTTTGTTTGGATTTCAGATGATTTAGGATTACGTATTTACCATCTCTTAAAAGGAATTAGTCTCTGTACTATCAGGTGATCACAGTAAATTACATCAATATTGATGATACTAGATAAACTGTCCAACTAGCAGCAGCTACATAAGTATTGTGTGTGTAGAGTCGACTAGGTTGAATGAATCTCATATTGTATATTCAGATGTTTCTCGATGTGCTGAAAGATATATCGAGATGTCAATTTGTGTTTCCTCTTGTATACGTTAGATATTGGCAAAAAGAAATCTGCTTTTGCGCTCTTAGAATAACAGTGAAAAAGTCAAGTTGTATGAGTAAACGATTCCTAGAACTAACAATTAATGCATGCTTAATTTTCTTTGGAAATCGAGTAAAGTTCTGTTAAGTTTGTTGGGTTACTTTTTCCGGCAGTCACGTCTTGCAGAAATGGAATAGTCTAATGTGAAGAGAAAACGATTAAATGCAGGTTTTTTTTATAAAAAAAATGTTTGGATTCTAGAAAATAACAAGGTGGAATACATTTTGCTTATCGTCACTCTGAATCATATCGCCAAGGTTCTTCAACCATTGATAGATGCGTGAAGTGGATGGTGGTACTGTATCACAAATTGATAAAAGTTAGAATTCGTAGATCATTGGATTACAATTCAGTAAGTGAATAGTCAGTAGGCGATCTCTAGGAGGTTGTCTTAAGTACACACCACTGACTAATCCCGAGGTATAACGAAGCAGCTAAACCAGTGCTCTGTGGTTTTTACTACCTCATAGGGAAATCTACATTGTACCAGTCAGTTATTCTCTAGTCTCAATACTATTACATATTATTAGAAGTAAAGCAGAACAGCTACCGAAATCATTCTTTAGATCTGTGTCGGCAACGATGCCGTGTTCAAAGTACCGGTTCTCAGCACATCACTGAAATCAAGCTGTTTTTATCCCGCTCAGTTCCTTCATGGGTAACTGGCTAGGAATAATGAGCGTTTCTCGGGTTCGCAAGTGTGTTTTATTGGCTTAAACAACTCAACTTTCAGCCTATTTACGTCCTGGGCTCAAATATCTCTCCACCTACTTCAGACGTTACTGGGTAATTCTATTATCAGCTGACAGCGTCCGTAACTGAGTCTAAACAAACTGTATACGTATGACTCATTAATTTCATCACCGTTTCGAATCCTGTCACTTCTTCCTCTCTATTATTTACTACACAATAAGTACTATCAATTTCAAAGTATCATTGTTATGGCCGATAATCATGTGTATACAGACGGATGTGCGATCACTGGGCTACGTCATCGAACAATTAAAAAAAATTATGCAAAATTATCATGTTAGATTTTAATTCTATAGTCAGAAACTGTTCCCATCATATGTCGGCGTCGTTTCTCTCTTATTAATTCTATTGATTGAAATTATGACATTGTGTTCTCAAGGTCAATATGATGCTGTTTGTGCGCATGTATAGTATCGTGTTTTTGTGTTTCTCCGATAAGATTACAGAAACTGTTTGTCTCTATACACTATTTCGTACAACACTGGACATTGTTTCAGCGTTTCATACGCCAGGTACCCTAATGTACAATGCTTTTTTGGTGTTTTGAACGATATGAATATGCATTATTAAACATTATTCTTGAACAACAATAATAATCAAACACAATGGAAACTTTTAGCATTTCACATTCGGAGGAAAGAGAGATGAAAATATCCAGTTACCAGGGCAAAGAAAGACTGATAACCGCTTCTTTCTGGACGCATAAATCAGGTTTCAGGCGCTTGATGGAAATGGCTTCAGCAAACTTAAGTAGAATTCAGCTATTTTGCTTATTGATAATTTTGAACGACTTTTCGACGTCCACCTCATGACCCGTGTCAAGGAGATGCCTGGTTTTGGCACTGTTTAAAGCATTTGTTCCCTTTAGACGTAAGCTTTTTGGTACATGTTCATAAAATCGTAGATATGCCCTTCTTTCTGTCGTTCAAAATTATCAATAGGCAAAATAGCTCAATTCTCCTTAAGTTTGCTGAAGCCATTTCCATCAAGCTCCTGAAACCTGATTTATGCGTCCAGAAAGAAGCGGTTATTAGTCTTTCTTTGCCATGGTAACTGGATATTTTTATCTCTCTTTCCTCCGAATGCGAAATGCTAAAAGTTTCCATTGTGTATGATTATTATTGTTGTTCGGAATAGTGTTTAATATTGCATATTTGTATATGTATATATTTTTAGTGTATGCGTATATTGATTGATTGATTTTTGTTTAAACTGAACTCTGTGCAAGTATGTTAAAATTGTTTTTGTAGATATATTTAATAATGTCTTTGGCCTGTAAGCGGCTGACGAGAAGACAACGAAATAAAAGATGGTACCACTTTATTCTGCTAAAAGTGTAGTTCTTGCTTTGTTCAAATAATAATCCTGTCAGTTGTCTTTGTAATGTAGCCACCATACTAGGTGGCTTGTCATCACGGTGCCTTGAGAACTGTTGTTATTAGATATATAAGATACATTGTAATTTCTGTTTGTAGCACTTCGTGACACGGGTTCAAAACTCAAAGGCAACATAAGTCCCTTCAAGATTGCAGATATGTATCTTGCTGACGAGTGCCGGCAACCATGCATTAAAAAACAATTTTGAGTGCTTAGCGACGACGAGACACCTAGCTGCATGGTAGCTACATTGCAAATTCGACTGATGGAATTCAGTTTACGTGAAACAAACGACGTGCATCGGCGGCACAGTGGTTAGGACTCTCGCCGACCATGCACATGGTCCGAGGTTCGATCCCTTGCCGATGCACACCTGATATCTATGGTCGGCCTGCAAAATTTGGGCTACCGATATCGTATGCTGAAAATTCCATACTTGTACCAAAGATACAGTGTGTAATCAAGCTGTGATCAAAAAATAAAAAAAAACATGCATAACACTAGTCAGTTGGTGGTCAATCAAAGTACTGACTGACTTTGTTTGATTTTATAGTTTTTTGTTTGCTTTCTATCTAAGTAAGTATGGAATTCAGTGTCATGTGATGAATTTCTTCTCAGACGTAATCTACACGAATTATTCTGTGTACGCTTATAATAATAATAATAATGTATCGTAATTACATAATTTTTTGTTTTCTATTTTTGTTTTGTATTATTCAACTTCAGTCTGGAAAGAATATCACAGCTGCTATTCATTACTTCACAGCTACAAATAAAATGTTTTCAGTGGATAAATATTCCAAAAATTTAACAGAAATCTGTAAACAACGCGGGATACATTATAATTTAACGCATAATTTAGTCGAAGTAAGTGTATTTATTATCATGTTTTTCTTTTGTGTTGCTCCTCCGTATTGATATGATTTACAAAATAACCGCCGACTGTTTGGGATTGCTGTTTAAATTAGATTCTGGAATTGTTCACTTCCGTGCTCATCACATTCTCACTTCCTTGAGTTGTATATATACCGGTGTTTTGTAAAATCTTATCTATCTGGTTGTATATTATCGCTTTAGCTATTCCTTTAATGATGCACTGTTACCAGCTTACCTCTATGAAAATAGAATTTTTATGTACCAGGAGCTGTGAGCTAATAGCCTATATTATTTTACTTACTTTACTTTACTTCGGCTATCTCCTACGGGAGGATGAACCGGCTTCATGAACATCTCGAATGATTGTAAGAGAGTTGATGAAGTTTCATGGGAATTGGGTACGAGTGATGTCCCCAGCATCGCTCGGCCTTTTTTTTGAGAGTGCAGCTCTAGCCTTTACACAGCCAAGTGTGACCTACAAGGCAGTAGGAGTGGAGTAGGGAGTCCACTATCCATTGGCAGCCGGTGACCGGAGTCCGGTTCATACGCCTTTTTGAATGGGGCCAGACATCCAGGGCATCCAATAAGCTCTTTGTCCATACGTCTGCCGGTGAACTCCGGTGAGCTTCATACGCCAGTCGTTGGAGGTTTGGAATCAGGGTTTAGCCATCTCCCCTAGACTGTCATCCAATGGACAGTCAACCCGGTGAAGAGCGCCGGGCATCCGCTTTCGCCCTCTCACTTCGGTGAAAAACACCTCCGCCACGTGAAGGCAGTGAGTAGGACTTCCTCAGGAGAGGCTATGTAAGACGCACGGTCATATGGGAACATTTCAAGAGGTGTACGGAGGGGTGGCTAGCCCGCAGCGCAAGACACCCACCCCCGACCATCCTGAGGCTTTGGATTATATTATTTGAGGACTGATGATGGTGCCCAAGGCTCCAGTTTGAAGTGGGTGGGTGGTGGGTGAGGATTGGAGATTAGGGCCCACTGGCTAATAGTCGCCTGCCTAAGCTTTTGAATTGCAGCTGATATGTCTCTGGTTTCAGGGCCTCTTCACCTACTTCATCAGCCCTCATACAACCAGTGTTGATTCTGGCTTGTTACTGGATAGGAGATTTCGAACTAACTAAAGATTTCTATAATTATACTCGACGTATTTGCCTTCATTTCGTTGTTGATTTTCTGATGTCTTTTTCCACTTCTTGTGCGATTTCCAGGCAAAGCAGCAGGACCTGATGGAATAACTTCAGAGGTATTTAAGTACTGTGGAGACAGTTTACTGTTTGCGTTAACTAGGGTGTTGATCAGGGTCTGGGAATCAGAGGAAGTCCCGTCGGGTTGGTGTAAGTCATTATTTATCCCGATACACAAGAAGAGAGACAAGTCTTCCTGTGATAATCACAGGGAGATTAGCTTGACTTATGGTATCTAAAGTTCTAGGCTCAGTAATAATGCTTAGACTGAGTGGTGCTCGGGAGGCACAAACACGAGAAAACCAGGCAGGTTTTAGACCAGGAAGAGGGTGTACTGATCATATCTTCACCCTTCGACAGATTCTAGAACATAGGCATTCCTACCGGCGTCCAACAATCATTATATTTCTTGACCTGAGGGCGGAATTGGATTCTGTCGACCGATAGGTACTCTGGCGATGCTTGGTCGTGAAGGGAATGCCGAGAAAATACATTGCATTGATCAAGGCACTCTACTCCTACTCATGCAGCCAGATGAGCGCTTACGGCGAGTTGCTATCTAAGGTGGTGACAACTAGTGGTGTTGACAGGGATGCCCACTAGATTTGACTACAGTTGACGACTACTTTCCAAATTGTATCTGTTTAAAGACATTACCACTAGCTATGGACCACTGGGGCGGTAAGTCGATATGTACAACTTTTGTGGTCACTGTCTTAGAGGAACATCTCACTGCTGTTACACTCTTACTCACCAGCAGTGTAAGACTTCGCTCTCTGATCCCTCAAGATAGTGTAAACGTCTTACACTATGGTGAGAACCGCTTTTAGTCTAACCACCAGCTAAACGATCCTCCTGTCATTGGAAGTTCTGCAGGGACATTGGTTCCAGCCACTGTAGCTCTTTAGATTATTGGCCACCGGATCAAGGTGCCACAGATGTCGTAATCATTACCATGTCCGTCAGTCAGCTCACTATTTAATAAGTGTTACTACAAATCCCCTAATTACTTATGCTCATAACATACTCTATGCATTTTTGTAATTTTTTCAGGTGAATCCACAAACAAGTGAAGCTGTGTTCGAAAATATGGAAACAAAGAAGCTTGTAAAAATTAAAGTACGTTCCCGTTAATGTGTATTGTGCATGTCATTAGTTTTGAACGTTTATTGTTCATTGAACGTTATCGGAGTTCTGATAAATAGTCCATAGTAGGCAGCAAAGTAATTCGTTTCTGTATATATCCCGATTTTAGACACATTAGCCTTTTGTTTGTCTAGGGATAATACATGTAACTGTACGTGTGTGTGTGTAGGAATTTATTATGCTGTTTTTTTGTCATTTCATCTTTCATTTGGAATTGTGCCTGTTAAAAGTGAAACATAAGTTTTTTCGATGTAAACTAGTTGTAATTTATTAGACATAGAATACACATAGAATACAATCTCGCCTAGTTTTCTAACTAATCCTAAGGGCAGAGGGAGAGGGAAGGGTTGACCGTTAGGCTAGCTACCTTATCCTGGAACATTAATCCTATTTGCTACTGAAACTTAAAAGCGTAGATAAAATATTAAAAAAAAACTCACTAAAATTGGAGAGGTGGAATGAGTCTGGCTGGTAAAAGCCTCCGGGAAGTCAATCAACATATGTTTTGTCTTCATTCGATGAAAGCAAAGGTAAGCATAGGGGCGTAGAACATCTGCACATAAAGCCCATTGGCAGCGCTACTGTGATTGTCTTATTCGCTACACGGCCGATGGTGATTACTCGACTGAAAGATGGAGTACCTAGACTAGCCAATCCCAGTTGTATCTACCAATTCAACTGCAAATGTGGAGCGAGTTATATTGGCCGTTGTTCTAGAAACTTGATTTCTCGTACTCGAGAACATATTCCAGTATGGCTAAGTAAAGGTGTAGTAAAAACCATCAAAAGTTCGATAATAGACATTCTGGTCCAAACCGGCCACAAAGCCAGCTAGCATTGAAGAATCCTCTATCATCTACCGGGTGCCAAATAAATTCCAAAAACATCGAAGCACCGTATGCGTTGAACAGCAGAGAATATCGCGATTCACGTGAAACAACCGGTGCTTTGTGTACAAAAGAAGCAAGTCCAGCCACTACTACTGCCCTGGCCCTGGCCCCAGCCTTCAGTGGAGACTATAAATTTATGAATTTGTATTATTATCTTTCCTAATTTTTCTAACATTCAGTTTATTGTTATGTTTATGCTATCGAACTGTAATCCATTGGTATTATTATTATTATCATTATTGATTCGATGTTATTTAAACCACATTAATGTTGTTAGTGACACAGCAAGTTATCGAAAAGAACATTCTTTGTTCAGTAACCATTCTTTAGAAATAAGAAGAAACAACATGAGAAGTGCTAGGAATCTGTGAGAACAGATATAAGTGAAGTCAACTCTCCAATTTGTTAACTAGAGCGTCGATATTCTACTCCAGTCACCAAAATGACGACTTCAAGCACTAAGGGAGTGTCTGTCATGATGTCACCAACTCTTTGCTATATGATTTTTTTGATTTTCGATTACAGCTTAATTCACACTGTATTTTCGGTACTAGTATGGAATTTTCAGCATGTGATATCGGTAGCCCAAATTTTTCAGGCCGACCATAGATATCAGGTGTGAGTCGGCAGGGGATCGAACCTCAGACCATGTGCATGGTCGGCGAGAGTCCTAACCACTGTGCCACCGATGCACATACCAAATGATTCACAATGAAAAACTCAGTGAAGCATTTGAAGTGGAGACGGGGGTGTGACGTGGCTGCCTACTATCACGTACGATCTTTCTGGCTTTGGTAGACTAATGGATCATATGAAAGGTTTGTAGGGGATGAGTAGACAGGCATATATTGTATTCAAAACACAGCGTATAAGGTGTAGACTTTGCGGATAAAAGTTTTCATCCGGATTCAAGTATACCATTGTGAAACCGCAAATGTAGTTTGTATAACAGATTGATATCGGGTAGGAGACTGTCAAAGGTCAAGAAATATCGGATAGGTTTGAAATTCGGTGCCAAGCATACATCGATCATTTCACTAGAAATGAATTACTTACGTGCTTTTTTTTTAAAAAAGTGTTCTACACTACACTGTGGAGTTCACTTCCACTTATTCATTCTATTTATTTATTTCACTTTTTATTTCCAGTATGACCTTTTGCATATCACACCTCCAATGAGTTGTCCTGATGTTCTAGTGAAAACACCAAATATGACTGATCCTAATGCTGCTAATTATGTCAGTGTTGATATTAAAACATTGAGACATAAACATTATGATAATATATTTGCACTTGGTGATTGTGCTGCTTTGCCAACATCTAAAACAGCTGCAGCTGTCGGTAAGCTATTTGTCGCTCATATATATATATATATATATATATATATATATATATATATATATATATATATATATATATATATATATATATATAATGAACTTTTCTTCTAATACGTATCTAATCATATTCCTATCTCTACCGCTATTAACATTCTTTTTTCCTTTATACGTTTAAGCCATTCCGGCTTCATTGTAAAATGAATAAAGCCTAAATTCTTGGTTCATTCGTCTTTTCAAGATTCAAGCATCACTCATCGTTCTAAGACTCAATCACCTTCGTAACAATTTATTCATTTTACAATATTCATGGAACGATTTTTCCGACCTGATCGGTTCGACGTAGAACCTAACGCAGTTGGAGCTGCCAAGAAGTGGGATCACTGGTTTGCGACTTTTCCTACTTCATTGAATCAATGGGATCCGAAAATCCTTCGAAACTACATATTCTCTTCAATCATATTTCTACTTCTGTATACGAATGCATTTCTGAATGCAAAACATACGAAGAAGCTATCGACACTCTCAAGAGTCTCTACATGCAGCCTTGCAACGAAGTGTTTGCTCGACACTTGTTAGCAACGTGTAAACAAGAATCTGGCGAAAATCTGGATCAGTTTGTTCGTCGACTCAAGTCGCTGACTACAGATTGTTCATTCAGGGCAGTTACAGCCGAAGAACATCGTAACGAATCTCTACGTGATTCATTCATCTCAGGTATACAGTCTTCGATGATACGCCAGAGGCTATTAGAACAGCGTACTTTAACTTTTCAAGCGGCATACGATCAAGCACGAGCTCTAGAGATGGCACATCAACAATCGCAGTCATACAACAATCCTGTTACACCTTGCGCGTCCATTTCTTTACATGATGTACCTCATTCATCAGATTCCACACCCTCCGTCAATGAAACAACCATTGCTGCCGTTGAATCCAAATGCTTTTTCTGTGGTAATCGTAGACATCCTCGTTCCAAATGCCCCGCCCGTGATGCAGTTTGCAAAGCTTGTGGCAAGCAAGGACATTTTCAGAAGGTTTGCAGGTCTGCGCCATCTACGAAAAAAGGTCCATCTTCAGTTAACTCTATAATTTCATCTCTCGTTGTGGCTTCAGCACCTCAAAGTCTCACTGATGCTGTTACGCAGCTTACTGTCAATGGGAAATCAATGCAAGCTCTAGTGGATACCGGAAGCAGTGAGAGCTACATCTCTTCCTCAGTTGTTCGTAAGTATAACTGGAAAGTCCATAAGTCTCGAAACAGAATCACAATGGCGAGTACGAATCTTACTAGTCATACTGAAGGACATTGTTTTCTATCCATCTGCTATAAAAACCACACTTATGATCTATTCAAATTTTCCATTCTTCATAATTTATGTGCAGACGTCCTTCTTGGACATGATTTTTTAAAACTTCACAAACACATTGAGATTCCTTTTGGGGGATCAAAGCCGCCTTTTTCTCTCTGTGGTCTACCTTGTGTTCGCGTCGACCTGCCTACTCTGTTTGAAAATCTTTCAAAAGACTGTAAACCGATCGCGATAAAATCCCGGCGTTATTCTCGTGAAGATGAAAGTTTTATTTCCACCGAAGTCAACCGGTTACTGCAAGAAGGTGTTATTGAACCTTCTAATTCTCCTTGGCGAGCTCAAGTTCTTGTTACGTCAAACGAACGCCATAAAAAGAGGATGGTAGTTGATTATAGTCAGACAATCAATCGATTCACTTTTCTGGATGCTTACCCATTACCTAGGATTGACGAAATGATAGAAAAAATCGCACAATATGACATATTCAGCACTCTTGATCTGAAGAATGCTTATCATCAAATTGCCCTAAGGAACGAAGATAAACCATATACTGCTTTCGAGGCTTGTGGGAAACTTTACCAATTTTGCCGAATTCCTTTTGGTGTTACCAATGGCGTAGCTTGTTTTCAACGCATTATCGATGAATTGATCAGTAAAGAACAACTCACAAGCACGTTTGCCTACATTGACAATGTCACTATCTGCGGCAAAACTCAGGAGGAACACGACAAAAATCTAAACAAGTTTATGGTAGCAGCACGCAATTATGGAATAACCCTTAATGATTCCAAAAGTGTGATCTCAAGCAGAAGCATACAATTACTCGGTTATGAAGTTTCAAAGGGGTTATTAAACCAGATCCCGATCGGCTAAAACCTCTTCGTGATCTAGAACCACCCACAGATATCAAATCTCAACAACGGGCCGTTGGATTATTTGCTTATTATTCACAGTGGATCCCTCGCTTCTCAGATAAAATCCACCCATTGGTAAATAATCGGATTTTCCCTCTTGATATCGAAACTCGAAATGCTTTTGACAAACTGAAAGACGACTTAGAACGTGCAGTCGTTGTGGTAGTTGATCCGAAAGCACCCCTTGTTGTTGAAACAGATGCTTCAGATGTCTCAATTGCAGCTACATTAAACCAGAATGGTAAACCTGTCGCCTTCTTTTCTCGAAGCCTCTCTCGAAGTGAGAAACATCATTCATCGGTTGAGAAAGAAGCCTATGCCGTGGTTGAAGCAATTCGTAAGTGGCGAAATCAAGAACGATAAAATAATGCTTTGGAGAATTGAACTATCCCCTTATCAATATGACATCATTCATCGTCCTGGAAGGGATAATCAAGCTACTGATACATTTTCCCGTAGTTTCTACGGTTCCTTGCAGTCAGTGTGCGACTTAAAATTTCTCCATGACTCTATGTGCCATCCTGGAGTTGTCCGAATGATGCATTTTGTACGCTCGAGAAACCTTCCATTCTCCCTTGACGAGGTGCGCAATGTAACCAGTAAATGCGTGACATGCTGTGAGTTAAAGTCTCACTTTTACAATCCCTCTAATTTCAAACTGATAAAAGCAACCCAACCTTTTGAAAAGTTAAGCATTGACTTTAAAGGACCTCTACCGTAAGCTAGCCGCAATCACTATCTGCTCACACTGATCGATGAATATTCTCGATTCCCCTTTGCATTCGCCTGCCCCGACATGTCGTCTCAAACGGTAATGAATTGCCTTTGCCAACTGTTTTCGATTTTCGGTATGCCTTCTTACATACATACCGATAGAGGCGCTACTTTCATGTCTACCGAATTACGGGCATTTCTTCTGGAGAAAGGCGTAGCAACCAGTCGTACTACCTCATACAATCCTCAAGCCAATGGGCAGGTCGAGCGCCTCAATGGAACACTTTGGCGTGCCATCACTCTAGCATTAAGATCACGGGGTCTACCAACGGCACAATGGGAGTCTGTTCTACTCGACGCCTTGCATTCCATCAAATCTTTGCTCTGTACTGCAACGAACGCCACGCCACACGAACGACTGTTTACCTATAACCGAAGATCGACATCTGGGACAGCTCTTACTACTTGGCTCACTGTACTTCTCCGGAGGAGTGTTCGTCAGTCCAAATTCGATCCTCTGGTTGAAGAGGTAGAGCTATTGAGTTGTAACCCGCAATTTGCTCACGTTCGCTTCGGTAATGGACGTGAAGATACAGTTGTTCTTGATCATCTGGCACCCAAAGGCGAAGATATTGATCAAGTTGAAAATTCAATACCGGAGGGCGACGCAATTCCTGAGCAACAAGTAAATGGGGATGTGACCACTGATCCTAATATTCTTCGTGAAGAAAATACAACTGAAACTAACAACGGGCGTATTCTTTTGGAAAAACAACAACGTGTACGGCCTTACAATTTGCGTACCAGGGAAGCGTGACATAATGGCTCATTCCTTTTCAAGTGGCAGTGAATATTGTGAACTTTTCTTATAATACGTATCTAATCATATTCCTATCTCTACCGCTATTAACATGCTTTTTTCCTTTATACGTTTAAGCCATTCCGGCTTCACTGTAAACTGAATAAAGCCTAAATTCTTGGTTCATTCGTCTTTTCGAGATTCAAGCATCACTCATCGTTCTAAGACTCAGTCACCTAAGTAACATATATATATATATATATATATATATTCTATGATGACGTAAATACTATAATGCGCATTAAATTGTTATCGTCAATGAGTATGAAGATATTGTTTCAGACTACTTATTGATTGCCGGCAACCATATCAACATCAAAAATAAGCTGATATTATCATTATTGATTCTTTGCCTCATGATATATGCCTTATACCCTATGTCAATACCGACTTTTAGTGTTCTCATACTATCTACCATGGGCATCTGCATTCTATCTCTCGGGTTAATTGCTACAATGTGATCAGTAATAATGAGGCTCGAGAGAGAGTTTTTGATGAGAAGAGAAAGAAAATCGATAAAGTTATGAAACTGCATCGATCGGGATGGCAACAAAGTGTATTACACCTACCATATCCCTTGCCTGTAGACTTCCGGGTTGGAGTGGTCCTCGGGACAATAAAAACCAATGGTTGGAAACAATTGGTAATATGGCTCAAAATCGTTCTCAGTGGCGCAGATGCATCCACTCTCTGTGACTTATGATTTCCAGTGAAACTACACTGTTCTTCGTTATTACTATTCCTTTGTCTCAAACCTGTGTTTACTGTCTCTATTACGCATTTCTTCTACTTTCTTCTCTTGCTTTGTGTGCTACAAGGAGGGGGTGTAGCGACTCGAACTGTCGCACATTGGTGCAAAGTTCTATGTCGGAAACAGACAGAGAGACAGACAGACAGATATCCCTTGCCTTTCATATCTAGCAAATGTTTTAGCTAACAAGAGATTGGATTATAGAAAGGGTAGGAGCAATATACAGTACCGGTCCATATTGATTTGGTCTATGTAAGGAAGAGTGTACCGTCCGGCATGGTGGGATCTTAAGATACTAAGAATCAATGATTAGCAGACCTTGGTGATATTATTCAAAATTGTTTTATGCAGTACAAATTTGTTCCCTTTATTTAATCCCTCCAAGAGTCATTAAATCGTCATATAATTAATTATTCCTGCTCTCGTGAATTTCCATTTATTGTTGTTTCTTTG